CTAGACTAGAATCTCTACCCATACACGTTCACATAACTCCCTGATATTGTCATATAGTGGCGCATTAGGAACAGTATCGGTTCTCAGAGACTCTTGACGATGCATTCTCCCTCTACGACATTGCGGAGTCAACTCTAACTAATTCCATAGAGTGAACGAGCTGGTTCTAATATCAACATACCGTTCACCACTCCCACGAGAGTTCCCTCATGTCTGGCAGGAAGAAAGTGGTTTATATTCATTCATGGTTTCCCTCCTAGTGCACCGCTTGACCCTGTGATCCCGGCAATTGGGTCTGCGGCTAAATTTACATACTGCACCCTAAAGTTGTGATCCTAACTCCAAGGGACATACATTGTTAAATTTATTTGCTATACTCCCGAGGGACAAAACCCTTAATATGTCCATAAATTGTTCACAACAGCTACTTTCCGAGTCGCCGACAGGCAGACCAATGGGACGACAAACTTAAAGTTTTCCGTAGTAAATTTACATAATGCGTACTTATGCCAGAATAACCCGAGGAGTTAATAGTGCTGATTCTTAGTTTGTACGGAGGAGGGCTCAACCTGGACATGTGTGAGTGAGTGACTACCGTGCATCAATAAGTTAAAAAGTGTATGTAATTTGTTTTGTTAAAAAATCTAGTCATCTCTTTGTGAGATGCAATTTTTTGTTATTTGAAGCCCTACCCTGGCTCTTGCCGGAGGCCGCAATATAGCCCGACCATAAATATGGTCTAATGGCTTAAAGCGGTTTCTGGGACCTCTCCACGGGTGATCCTCATCCACATGGTGGCACTATGTGTCATCGGGTGTTTATCACTTGTGTGATGTCCTGGTGGGGTCAAAAATCTACTACTACTACTACTGTTTGTTTTGCCTTGCCACATTATTGGACGCACACTTTTTGTTATTTTAAGGTTAAACTGCGTTTCTGGGACATGTGCCCGAGTGATTCTAAACTGAAAGGTGGCACTTTGTGTTACCGAAAATGTATCTTCCCACTGGTTGTGCGATGCCGGTGAGGGTTGACCTTTACTCACTCATCAGATTGAACAATGCAATAGCTCACGTGAATTTACAGTCCGGGAAATACAAGAGTGCAAGATAATAAAGGAACGATTTGTGGGCTACAAACGGCACAGCTACGGGGACACTCATACTGGACAAGTAAGACATTATGAAGGCCAGGTATGAACACATTCTGATAGAAGACATGAGTTTAGACAAATAAAATGTTAAAATTTGTGAATGTGGAGTTAGGAAAGGATCCGGTTAAAGATGGACGTATTGGAGGAACAGAACGACGTGTGTTTAATCAGTGTGCTATGGGAACATCAAAATAGCTATAAATGTGCCAGTCAGTCACTATGGACAACCCCTTGTGAGATAAAAAATTCTTCAGTGGTAAACATCTGTTCTACAGCCAATCTCACTGATAGATGTGAAACGCAGTCCGGGAGACGCCATCATGTTTAGAGTTGTCTACGAGACCAAGTTAATTCCGCTGATCTGCTCTGTTCAAAGGGCCCGACCTAGTCTGTGTTATGTAACATCCATGACACTAGGGTCTGGCTGATAAAACGACCAGGTAGAAAAGGTAATGTTATGTAATCTCTAACTAAGCTTGGTTGCTTTGTCTGACTAGAGAGACTAGAAATAATTTTTAACAATAATTTGCTGCATGAGACAGGGCATCTATAAATATGTCATGTGCACAGTCAATTCTCAAATATGTAATTATAAGGCGTACTTCGCTGCATTTCGCCATGTGCCTTACTACAGAGCTGATCAACATGCAACGAAGGAAAAAGCCCAACAACGACACGTAATTAATTCTATTAAAGTTCTGAAATTCTAGAAAAGAATTGAATTAGAGAAATCATTTCAAAATCTAGAGCCAGCGTTTCGCAGTTTCTAGAAAAGATATCAAAGCAACGAAAAGCAGAACCAGTTAGCTTTCACATTAACACAAATGCAAGCGGTAAGAATACGTTGCGACCAGACAGCCTTCAACAGCACATTACATGAATATATATAATACCAAAAATACAACCACATTATTAAAAAAAAAAAAATTCCTTAACCGATGTGTTTCCTACAGAAATCACATTTCTTTATGTCTAGTTAAATCTATGACATGTGTGTGATAACTAAGAAGTATTAGATAAAACTTTTAGATGTTACACCCCAAGTTTTAATTAGATACTATTAGATGTAACGGTTCTCGTGAGTTGAGGACTTACTGGCGTGGCTAGACTTGAGTGCCCAAACTTCCATGTCGAAGCCGCGAGGGTGACTACATAAATTAAAAAAGTGCTGAATTGAGGACACTGTTCTGCACATCAGAGATGTTGCCTGATATTATATTATGTCATCACAATCGACGTCTTTGCACATTGGGCATCCCCATGCGTGCTCAGTCCTCCGATGCAGCAGCCACTCGAAGGTACCTCTACTTTGTGTTTCCATGAAGAGTTGGTTGTAGTATCTCTTGTATTTACCTCTAAGACGACATAACGTGCTCCACCAAGTTCAACTTCTTGGTCACGTAGTCGTGTTAGCGTCAGAGATTCGCCATGATCTCCCAACCTAATCCGTACGGTAATGATGATATCAGCTCTGTTCATGCTTTTTCTCATTTGCATTGGTGCATTACTAGCCAGCTGGTCAGCTCTTTCATTGCCATTTACTCCTGCGTACCCAGGTGTGTAGATCTAGCTGATGGAGGTTAACTGCGACTTTCAAATACTTTCTACCCATTCGGAGCGGAGACTACCTGTAGCGATTTTCTGAAGCATGTTCATAGAGTCTGAAACAATTACCGCATGTGTTCTGCTACCCATGCGAGTGCTCTGGTAGCAGCAGCTATCTCCATGGTCATTCTGGTAAGCGCCGCTATCCTCTTTTATTATTTTCCCCATCCTTTGTGCTGTGTATGCCCACGCTGATCTTGTCCCGCATTTTCCTGACCCATCTGTGTAAATGACGACGTATTCTGGACGTGAGTGCTGACCAATGAGTGCTCTAATCTCAGCGTCTACGGTGGCAGGTATCTGATTCTTGCAGTACCTCCCCAGTGTTATGACAACCTAAGACGAGTTATGCAGGTCTACTGGTGTATCGGTCCATTCTTTTCCGGGACTGATCTCGTCTAGGGCACATACTTGCTGGATTATATTTTCTGCCCCGGCCATCCGGGAGGAGCCTCTTTTTGAGACGCGTTTCTTTTATATCATTGACAGCGTTGTGCAGTGGGTGGTTGATGTTTGCTAATATCCTCATGTACGCTTTTACCTGTGCCATTTTATGTCTGGTGGCCATAGTCGGCAAACCAGGACACACCTCGGAGCTTGGCACGAGGTGTCTTTTGTGCAGCCGAGTATGAGTCTCGTGACCTCATTTTGTACCCGGTCCAGTCTTTCTAGCTGGGTTCTGCTGATAGTGAGGAGACCCAGACCATAATCTAAAACACTTAGAACAAGTCCCTGATAGAGCAGGACACGTAGGCGTTGTTCAATGTCGGTGTATGCCATCGCTCTCATCGCTGTTGGACTATTCCTGGCTCTGACTATGACATTGTCTACATGTTCTTGTATGACAAGCATCGGTCAAAAGTTATGTCAAGGTATCTCATTGTCTTTCTTCTATCGATGTCTATAACGCATATGCTCACAGCTGGCGTAGGTCTACTGACAATTTGGGTATTCAAGGGAAACAATTCCTGACACCAGTCACTGAGTCAGTCTAATTCATGCTGTAGCGTTGTCGTAATTTCATCCGTAGATGTCGTCTGCGAAAGACATTGTTGCCTAAACCTGTTACAGCTCGCAGCCCCGTTTTACCGATGTATTTCATACCACATGTTTTGCAGACGATGGCGTAAAGAACTTGTGCAATAGAAAATGGTAGAAAATATATTCATTCATTGTCTTCTTGTGTATTTATACGTCATGGTTCCGCAGTTCCGTTCTATCCTGTGCCATTTCTCAGATATCGTGGATGAATTCCAGTCCAGCAGCTTTGGCCGCACTCATCAACGTTACCCTTAGGTTTTTTTTTTGGATATCTTCGTTTTCTCAGACTCTCTATTTTCCTGTTCAGTGTTTTTTTTTTAATAATTTTTTTTTATGATTCTCTGTTATCTAGGGAATGCAACACTCTGATTCCGTAACGTAATTTCTAGACGCTCGCTTGTCAGCTCAAAAGTCATGGGTTCAAGTCCACAGTAGGCACTTATGGAGAAGCAAAATCTAGCCACTGCTAAAAGGACGAACTACTCTACATTACGTTACAATTTTTTAAAAAACACCCCCTCGTGAGTAAAATATATACACAAATTTTAGGTAAAGCCATGGTGGTAAAGGGAGGTAAATCCTCAGTGTATAGGCAAACCCTCGTCACTGGACTTCACAAAAAGAGTTCTCGCAGAGTGTCTAGTACTAGGGAAATACTTGGAAGTGAAGACGGTATAATAATCACTACCACATTATTCGCGTAAGGAGTCATTTTCTGTCAGTTGGAACTAATTAATGTATATGCTGCCGTGGGTTCTTTAGTTACAAAACAACAGTGGGACTGACTGAAAGACCTGTAGGGGATTCTTGGCAACTGGGTCCTCAAATGTGGGATTTCACTGCACGGAACAAGCATTGGGACAGTACTGATGAAAACTGATCAAATTTGGATCCTAAAGTAGGTAGGTGGTTTTCGGAGAAAACTCGTCACGTACAACCAGCAACACAAAATGGTGAGCTTTAGGTTATAATTGTGACTAGGTTATGTGCGCCATATAAAAATAGCTAGTCACTGCACCCTACCAAGAGCCACGAAAAGGACTTCTTCATTGTTGAGGCGATCAAAGGAGACAGACCCAAATACTACACGCAACCGTCGACGAAGTCGTCTACCGGCTAGCAGATGACAACCTGTCGCCGATGTGTCGTTAGAAACTAAACAGTTACCTGTATTTACCAACATATGATCTGACATACTTGCCTGTAAAAGTTGTGATTGAATTTGTTGTAACTTGCCATGTTAATCAAAGAGCCCCATGCCATTCCCATAGAGAAGAAGATCTGCACGGCAGCATCTCCCCAGGCATGGAAGCGAATCAGTTTCCCCCACTTGGGGATGATGTACTCATTAATACCTCTTGATGCCCCAGGCAGACTCGCTTCTCGGATCAGAAGTATCATCATAATAAGGTAGGGAAACGTTGCAGTTACATAAACAATCTGGGGAACGAGAAGAGCAGCTTATTTAGTCTGGTCTTTTTGTTTTGTTTTTGGAATTCAACACAATGTGTGGAATGTGGAGGTGCTAAGCATGGCCAAACTTTAGTACAGGCCTAGCTACTGACGTCATCAGCGGGACATGACGTCACCGCCGCTTGGCTACGTGCTAAGCCAAACATGGTGGTCTGACAGGACACAGTCTTATACCTGAGGCTGGACTAGGTCGTTACCCTTCAGTTTCAAGTGGATTCCTAAGTCACTGCCACCAAGTTCTAAATCAAGTCTCCCGTCAACAAGAATGCTTCCAAGTCGAGCCCAAGTCATTGCCACCAAGTTCTAAATCAAGTCTCCCGTCAACAAGAACGCTTCCAAGTCAGGCCTAAGTCACTGCCACCAAGTTCTAAATCAAGTCTCCCGTCAACAAGAACGCTTCCAAGTCGAGTCCAAGTCATTGTCACCAAGTTCTAAATCAAGTCTCCCGTCAACAAGAACGCTTCCAAGTCAAGCCCAAGTCATTGCCACCAAGTTCTAAATCAAGTCTCCCGTCAACAAGAAAGCTTCCAAGTCGAGCCCAAGTCATTGCCACCAAATCATAAATCAAGTCTCCCGTCAACAAGAACGCTTCCAGGTCGAGCCTAAGTCACTGCCACCAAGTTCTAAATCAAGTCTCCCGTCAACAAGAACGATTCCAAGTCGAGTCCAAGTCATTGCCACCAAGTTCTAAATCAAGTCTCCCGTCAACAAGAACGCTTCCAAGTCGAGCCCAAGTCATTGCCACCAAATCATAAATCTAGTCATAAGTCATTGCCACCAACTCCCACGGCAAGTCCCAAGTTATTGCCACCTAGTCGCATGTCACTGACATCAAGTCCTAAGTCAAGTCTCAGGTCACCAAGAACACTTACGAGTGGTGTACAAACTCATTGTAACACAGTTAAGCCATTACTTGTTTGTAGGAAGTGGGTTATTACGCAGAGTTATGGTGAACTGAAAATCAACAAGTTTTGGCAGCCTTGACATTCCCTTTTCCAGAATCTTCTTTTCTCGCCAAAACAAGCTATTGACATCAAACTGATGTTGTCTGGCCTTGGCCTTCTTTCTAGAAGTTTTGAAATGCATTCTTTTCATCATGTGACCCAACCTTGTCGTACTAGTGAATATCTTGTTGACGTGCCTATCAAAGCAAACACAATTGTCCTTGTTTTTCTAGAAGCTTCTATGACCTCAATTGTCAGTTTAACTACTATATCTGCGTAGAATAGGATGATGAAATCTGATGCAATCGAGATATAATTAGCAAATCCCATGTGAGAACGTACATAGTAAATAAGTTTAGACGTACTAGAATATTCTAGAAGCGGACAAAGCGAAAAGAAAACAAATACCTAGCATTCCAGCATCCAAGTATAAATAGCGAGCAACAAAGCACTTTAAAAGATTCTTCAGTCCACAAGACTCGAGAAAGAGGAAAGGCCAGTCACATGGGCTTCCAAGACAGCCTTCAGTGGTAGAGATGTAAGCCCAACACTAGAAGCTTTCAGTCGTTGAGACTCAGAGGACGAGCGACTAGTCTCAATGATCCTTGATGCCAGCTCAACACTGGAAGCAGAGCAGCCGTTCATATTGAACCTAGAAGACAGTTACTGGAGAGCAGACATGAAACGAGACATCGAGCTACAGAGACGACACACAAGATATACATGGATCCATGGTCAACAGAGACATATTAGGAACACTATAGAGATGTTAGAGTCGACGATCAAGCCGTTAGTACCAAACAGCACTAGAAGCCAGGTGGCAGTGGAGACACTAGAACCCGTTAACAAAGCAACTAGAGAACACAACGCGAACCTACGAGTATTTAACCATAGAGAGAACACAGCACTATTTAGAATATCATTGATGTTATTTGTGACATTGCTGAAGTAACACAATAAAGACAGTACAGACGAGAACAGTTGTTTCCAGACATTTTGTTATACAAGCATCAGAGTCACGTGAGAAGCATGCAGCTAGGAAGACATCATCATCATCATAACCACTATCGACACGACCATCTTTCTCCTCGTCTATAATCTTCCAATCGTATCCTTCTGTAGCAAACCTAAAGACGAACCTGGGTGTGACAAGAACATACGCAACGAAGAAGAGAGCAGTGCTACATGAGGAGGAGGTCCGATTTTGGTGCCTTAGGACCAGGATTTCAAATACCTGGAGCATTTTTGAACGAAAAGCAAGATACTAAATTTTGGTACCGTTCACTCACGATTTTCAAGATCTCAAGCATTTTTTCAAGACACTTCTACAGATGCACAGATGTAAGAAGTTCAGTGTTGGTGACGTTTTTTCAAGAACTTTCAAGCATCAGCGAAATGTAAACAACACTTCGGCACATGCAAAAAAAAAAAAAAAATCGATTTTGTTGCCTTGAGAAGCTTTACTACGTTTACCTAGCAAAATGACATTATGAGACAATTTGTAAGACACGTCAAACAACGCAGCACAAAGTAACCACGTCAAACAACGCAGCACAAAGTAACCAACAATGAAGAGAAAGTAGTTTCACACAGAGAGTTTTCAAGTTCTAACGACGAACAAGCAGTACGCAGACATTTTTAAGTTCCAATAATGAATGCAAGCACTACCCAGAAGTTTTCCAGTTTCAGCGAACATAACAAAAACTACGAGTACGATCACAATGACAACCAGTCCAGAAGCAGAGACATGAGCAGCAAAAATAGAAGCAAATTTAGACATTTATCATCAACATCAAGAAGCCATTAGTCCTAGAAGACAGCAGTTCAAGACATCCAGAAGAGTAGCAGTCCAGAATTCAGAAGACCAACATTACAGAAGTCCAAAGCTCCAGAGTTGCAGAAAACCAACGATTTCGAAGCCTAGAGTACAGACAACTAAAGCTCCAGAAGTCCAGAAATGCAGCCGATGAATGTTCAAGAATGCAGAATTCCAGAAGACCAAAGCTATAGAAGTCCAACATACCAGAAAACCCAGAACGACGTTATGCACATACAGCAGAAGCGTAAGAAACATTTTTTACACCTGACATTTTTATATCATTCAACGAACTACACACTGGTGAAATCCAGGACAACGAAGACAAGAAGAACAACCCAACGACCAGAAAGAAGAAGTCGCTATCCTATGCTACAGTAACAACAGATCAACTCAACCAGACGACCATCAACAACCACAGCGAAGCAGCCATGAAGAGAAGAATACATCAACGACTAGAATACCAACGCAACCACAACACCAAGATCCTACGACTCGAAAGACAATCTCAGTTGCATAGAACCCGTAGAGACAGATAAGTACAGATCCATGAACAATGAACAGTTCCGTTTTCACAGAGCTGCAATATTTGACAATCCAAAAAATAAAGAGACGAACAGGTACAAACTACCAGATGCTTACGGCAAATAAGAAAAGGTCAGATTATTATTTTTATTTGTTTAACATAATAGAAAGTGTTATGTAGATTTGTTTTAAATATAGTAGTGCACTAGAAAATGGAGGAATATGACAATTTAATTTGTTAGGAGTGAAAGTTATGATCACAATAATCATGCTTGAATGACGCAGTGAACAGGTACCCATATTCGGCTAAGCACTCAAAGAAGAAGAGGAAGAATAAGGGGCAGAAGAAGAAGAAGAAGAAGAAGAAGAAGAAGAAGAAGAAGAAGAAGAAGAAGAAGAAGAAGAAGAAGTAAATGAATTATTTAATTTAGTGAACGAGGATGATGATGTTTATAGAAAATAGAACAAAGAATAATAAATGAAGAATACATTTGTGCACACGCTTACACAGCACACAGTTTCTTCTGATGAAGTATATTCTTGAAATAGAAGGTAGTAGATGATTAGTAAACAGATTACATTCTACAGATAAATAGTCAAGTGATACAGATAATTATTAGATTAAAATGAATGAGTTAAAGTCTTCGAAGAGCTTTGTGAAAATAATTGTAGTGAAGATAGAGTTAAACACATTTTTTTTCCCCAGTACATAATATATCAGAGAGCAGTGATAGGGCATACTTACAAGACAATGAGAGATCTCTAATGGTTAAAAATAAATAATACAGACAGGGCACATTTAATAAGGAGAAGATCATTTTCTATTAAGAGAAGCAAGACGGTTAAAGATAAATTAGCAGCCTAGTAATGTGTAATAAACAATAAAAATAGCCGTATAATGATGCCATATGTGACAAATTATTTGTTTGTTGTGTGTTATGAGAAGCCATGCCATGAAGGATGTGAGTGAAGCGAAAAGCCATGTTGCACACAGGAGAAGAGTTAATGTGTATATTTTCGCTTTTTATTTATGTGTATTAACTTAGATTGTGATGTCCAATAAGATAATTATTGTCAGGAAGACAAAAGAGCGAATGCATCATATAGGTTATAAAAAAAAAAAAAAAAAGTAGTGTGATGGGCAGAAGTGAGTTAATCTATGTTGTTCAGTAAGATTTTCACTTTTCGATGTTTGATTGGCTTTGTAAATATACGCACATTTATGTTATGATTTGTGTAAACATTGATGACTATACTAAGGGACTGTCACAACTTGCGAGGTGACAGATGTGAAGAGACTAGACAATGAGTTAATGTGTATTTTATTTTAAGATTTTTGCTTTTCTTTCAATTCGCTTTGTATAGATATCGCATTCATGTAATTAATATGATGTTTGTGATGATGATTAAGAAGAAGAATACATATAAGTGGTGTAATGAACTTGACGTCACTAAGTAGAGCTGATTAAGCTGTAGTGACACTGGAGATTAGGATTAGAGGACCTAATAACGACAGAGAGGCGAATTACCGCAAAAATTGCCGGCCTAGAGCCGTTAGGTCAAAGATTTTATTATTTGAGATACAGGCGGTAGAGTGACCGTCCTGATGAGGTAGATACAGACGGTAGAGTGACCGTCCTGATGAGGTAGATACAGACGGTAGAGTGACCGTCCTGATGAGG